GCCATATAGGACCAATCTGCTGTCAAGATTAAATCAGGTGGTCAAGAAGTATTCAGTGAATCTTTCATATCAGATACCGTATTTGTCAGTTATGTCTTTTAAAGCTTCGTTTAGGGGCCAGTGCTGTGGCATAGTGGGTAACGTGCCACAGTGGCAGCATGCCGTATGGGCACCAGTTTGAGTCCCAGTTGCTCCACTTCTGATCCAGTTCCCCACTGGTGTGTCTAGGAAAGCAGCGAAGGATGGCCCAAGTGTTTGGGCTCTTGCACCCACATGAGAGACCCTTAGGAAGCTCCTGGTTCCTGGCTTCAGATTGGCCCAGCTCTGATTGTTGTAGCCATTTGTGGAGTGAACCAACTGTTGGAAAATCTCTCTCTTTTTCTCCTCGCTGTAACTCTGCTTTTAAACTAATTTTTTAAAAAAAGTTTTATTTATTTAATTGAAAAGCAGAGCTGCAGAGACGAGGGAGAGATCCTACATCTACTGGTTCACTACTCAAATGGCCACAGGAGCTGGAACTGAGCCAGGCCCAAGCCAGGAGCCTGTAACTCCATCCGGGTCTCCACATGGGTGGCAGGGGCCCAAGCACTTGGACCATCGCCTGGATTATCAGGGAGCTAGATTGGAAGTAGAGCAGCCGGGACTTGGACTGGGGCTCATATGGGATGCCAGCATCGCAGTCAGTGCCTTAACGACTAAGTCAGCAAAACCAGCCCCTATACTTTTCGGTTTTACAGTTCTCATTTGCTTCTTTTTGTCATCCTTCTAATTACAGGTTACTTTCTTTTTCTTTTTCTAGTTTCTTTGTTGGAAACACGCATCATTCATATTATTCCTTTCTTTTTACATAAGAATTTAAAGTTATAAATTTCTATGCAAGAATAGCTTTAGCTGCATCCCACAAAATTTGATGTATTTTCATAGTCATTCACTTTAAAATGTTTTCTGTATTTACCTTGTGATTTCTTTTCTCATCTGTCGGTTATTTAGAGTTACACTATTTTAATTTCCAAATATTTGAACACTCACTCATATCTTCCTGTAATTGATTTCTAATTCAATTGTCTTGTAGACAACATAATCTGCCAGATATCAGTCTTTGGAAAGTCACAGAGACTTATTTTGTGACCAAGTGTAGAGTCTAAGTGGACATTACTCGAGCACTTGAAAAACAAATGTAACGTGGAGTTACTGAATGTGATTCCTGTGTTAAGACAAGGCAGTAGTTGAGTCTTTTGGAGCTGTATGCTTACTGTGTTGTGTTGTTTTGTTTTGTCTAGTTATCAACTACTGAGAGAGAATATGTAAAGTCCCCAACTTTGATTGTTGGTCTGTCTCCTTCCTTGGCTCTGTCATTCCTTGATGTATTTTGAAACTGTTATTAGGCACATTTACACTTATTCTTACACCTTCCTGCTGTACTAACTGTTTAATCATTAAGGAATGTTCCTCTTAGTATCTAGTAATGTTCCTTGTGTCAACGTCTATTATCTGTTCATATAACTTGTCAAGCTTTCTTATGACTAGTGTTTTCATTATATATCTGCTACTCAACTTATGATGGGGTTACATCCTGAAAATCCATTGAAACCCAAGTTTCAATTAAAATATCTTAAGTTGAAAATTCGTTTAATATACCTAAGCTACAGAAAGGATAGCTTGGTAACACAGCGCACTTCAGAGGGTCGGTTGTGTGGAATTGTGATCACGTGGCTGCAGTTCACTTGTGGCCAGCATCACAGGAGTATTGTGGTACATGCTGCTAGCCCAGGAAAAAGCAAAACTCAAAACTCAAAGCATGGTTTCTGCTGAACTCACTTGGTTTTTATTCCATCATAAAATTAAAAATTAAAAAAGCTAAGTTGAACCTTCATAACTTAAGAGCTGTCTACATTTTTCCCATCCTTTAGCTTTCATTCTGTTTTGTTTTTGTATTCAGAGTATATTTATGAAAGCATCTTATAATTGTGTATTGCTGTTTTTTAAATTTTTATTTACTTGGAAAGTGGGCAGACAGAGAGCATTGCCATCTGCTGGTTCACTCCCTAAATACTGGCAGCAGCTCCTAGCTGGACCTAAAGCTAAGAGCCTGGGATCCATTCCAGCTTTGCCACGTGAGCGGCAGGAGCTCAATCACTTGAGCCATCACTGTTGCCTCCCAGGGTCTGCATTAGCAGGAAGCTGGAATTGGGAGCAAACCCAGGCATCACAGCTAGGCACTCCAGTACAGAATGCGGATGTCTTAACCACCAGGCCAAAGGTCTGCCCTGTGTCTTGCTCTACTAATCCAGTTAACAGTCTTCACCTTTTGTCTGGAGACTTTAATCTGTTTAAATTTAATAATTAGATTTAGGTCTCCATTCTTCTCTCTCTCCCTCCCCTTCTTTCCTCTGCATTTGTTCCTTTGTTCTTTTCTTTTGGGGAATTATTTTAATATTTATTTTTTTATTTTATTTTTATTTTATTTTATTTTATTTACTTGAGAGACAGAGCTCCCATGCATTGGTTCACTCCCTCAAATGCCAGCACAGGCTGAAGCAGGGCGGGGATGAAGGTGGGAACTCAATCCAGGTCTCCTGTGGGTGTCAGGGTCCTAACTACTTGAGCCATCATCTGCTACCTCCCAGGCAGCTAGGATTGGGAGCAGAGCTGGGACTCAAATCCAAGCACTCTGATATATGATGTTTGTGTGTCCCAACAGATGTTTTAACCACTAGGACAAGTACCCATCCCTAAATATTTTTAAAAAGTTATTCTGATTCTTCTATTTTTTTTTTTTTAGCTATATATCTTTGCTTCCCTTCCCTTCCTTTTTTTTTTCTGTAGTCGCTGTAGAGATTGAAGAATGCATCTTTATTACAACCTAATTCAAGTTGGTATTTTACTACTTTACATGAAATAAGGACCCTTGCAGTGCTGCAGGTTCACTCACTGTCCTCTCATCACTGACTGGTGTGTTATACTTTCCATCTCTCTATACAGGATTCTCCTGTATATTCACTCACTAGGTCCAGTCCCTTAAATAATCATACTTATAAGGTAGATGCCTTAGCTTTCTTGTCTGGTAACTGATATGTCTGCCATCTCAGAGTCTGTGTCTGCCGACTTCCTTTCCTGGTTATGGATTACATTTTCCTGCTCCCCGCACCCTGGAACGTCTGACTGTAGGCTGCACACGATAGATGCTATATTGTTGAGTTTCTAGATTTTGTTGTCTTCCTTTAGAGATTTTTGAGTTTTATTTTGTCAGGCTATTAATTATGTTAAATATTTTCAGACATATTTTTGAAGCTTCTTTTCAAGCTTTGTTAGAGCAGATCTAGAATATCCCTGTCCTAATACGTGGGTCTTTGAAGGGTCTGATGGGATACCAGAGTGTTTGTCAAGATCTCCACTCTGATTGGCCATTATTACCCTGTCTTCAGCACTGAGCAGCATCTAGAATCTCCATCTCTCTCAAGCTCAGCCAGGCCTCTGGAGTCTTGGCTGCAGATGTGCAGCTGAGTATTAGGCCAAAACTCAAACAGACCCCTCTGTAGATTCCTAGCGCTCCTTGTCAGCTCAGATCCCTCTTCTTCAAACTCTGTCTACAGCCCAGTCCCAAACTCCTATTTCTTTTTTTTTTAACTTTTATTTAATGAATATAAATTTCCAAAGTACAGCTTATGGATTACAATGGCTTCCCCCCCATAACGTCCCTCCCACCAGCAACCCTCCCCTTTCCCACTCCCTCTCCCCTTCCATTCACATCAAGCTTCATTTTCAATTCTCTTTATATACAGAAGATCAGTTTAGCATACATTAAGTAAAGATTTCAACAGTTTGCTCCCACACAGAAACATAAAGTGAAAAATACTGTTTGAGTACTAGTTATAGCATTAAATCACAATGTACAGCACACTAAGGACAGAGATCCTACATGAGGAGTAAGTGCACAGTGACTCCTGTTGTTGACTTAACAAATTGACACTCTTGTTTATGGCCTCAGTAATCACCCTAGGCTCTTGTCACGAGCTGCCAAGGCTATGGAAGCCCCCTGAGTTCACCGACTCTGATCATATTTAGACAAGGCCATGGTCAAAGTGGAAGTTCTCTCCTCCCTTCAGAGAAAGGTACCTCCTTCTTTGACGACCCGTTCTTTCCGCTGGGATCTCACTCATGGAGATCTTTCATTTAGGTTTTTTTTTTTCCCCCAGAGTGTCTTGGCTTTCCATGCCTGAAATACTCTCATGGGCTTTTCAGCCAGATCTGCTTTTGCCTTAAGGGCTGATTCTGAGGCCAGAGTGCTGTTTAGGACATCTGCTATTCTATGGGTCTGCTGTGTATCTCACTCCCCATGTTGGATTGTTCTCTCCCTTTTTTATTCTATCAGCTAGTATTTGCAGACACTAGTCTTGTTTATATGATCCCTTTGGTTCTTAGTCCTATCATTATGATCAATTGTGAACAGAAATTGATCACTGGGACTAGTGAGATGGCATTGGTACATTGCCACCTTGATGGGATTGAATTGGAATCCCCTGGTATGTTTCTAACTCTACCGTTTGAGGTAAGTCAGCTTGAGCATGTCCCAAATTGCACATCTCTTCCCTCTCTTATTCCCACTCTTATATTTAACAGCGATCACTTTTCAGTTAAGTTTCAGCACTTAAGAAGAATTGTGTATTGATTACAGTATTCAACCAAAAGTATTAAGTAGAACAAACAAAAAAAAATACTAAGAGGGATAACATATTAAGCTGCTCATCAACAGTCAGGGTGAGGGCTGATCAAGTCACCGTTTCTCATAGTGTTCATTTCACTTTAACAGGTTTCCTTTTTGGTGCTCAGTTAGTTGTCACCGATCAGGGAGAACATATGGTATTTGTCCCTTTGGGATTGGCTTATTTCACTCAGCATAATGTTTTCCAAATTCCTAACAGGGATCACTTTTAAGTTAAAATTTAAATACCTAAGAATAATTGTGTGTTAATTCCAAACTCCTATTTCTAATTCCTCAGCTCATCAAGACTTCCAGGCTGTATGTGGGCTGTCACTCTGTTCCACAATCCAGATAGTGCTTCTAAAATTCCAAGAGGAGGGCATTTGGCACAGAGGTTAAGACACTGCTTGAGATGCCCACATCTCATATCAGAGTCCCAGTTCCTGGATTCAAGTCCTGACTCTGCTTCCCATCCAGCTTCCTGCAAATGCACACCCTGGGAGGCAGCAGGTGGTGGCTCAAGTACTTGGGTCCCTGCCAGTGAGTTCCTAGATCCTGGCTTTAGCCTGGCTCAGCCCCAGCTATTGCAGGAATTTGAGACATGAACCAACAGATGGAAGATACTGTCTGTTGCTCTTACTCTCATTTTCCCCCAATCATAAGCAAACTAAATAAATAATTTTTAAAATTTCCTGGAAATTGTGATTAACTTCATCTTTCAAAGATCACAGTTCTACTCTGCCTTTTGTTCAAAGTTTGAAAACAACAGTTGTATACATTTTGCCCAACTTTATATTTAATTATGATGGGAAAGCTACTCCAGTGCAGTACTGTTGCTTTATAATAGGACTATTTGGGAACATCTAGTATTGTGTAATATGTTAGCTTCAGCCAGCTTACATCTTCTCATTTCACTTTACTCCCTGCCTTTCACCTTCCAACAACCCAATCCTACAGAGCAGTGGTCCAGAAGTCTTTCTCTCCTTCAGACAGCAAAGTCCTCTCTACAATAAGCACAGTGCAACCATACGTCTCACTGTTCTCCTGCCTATGGTTTGTAGTTACACTGTGTATTGCTTTGAGGGCTGCACCTGCTTTTTCAGTTGATTCTATACTCATCTTGTTACCCGGTAACCATAAGTAGGTCCATCTGATTAGGACAGGCAGGAATATGGGGACTGGAAATGCCTCAGCAGTCCTGGCTCCGGGAGGAAACCATGAGGGAGCTGCCCCTCAGAGCACCGCGCTGTCATCACAGAGGCTCACGGCGGCATCCAGCAAGGCTGCTGGATTTTTGTCTCAAGTAGGCAACAACCAGTGGGATAATCCCAGGGAGCAAGCTTCATTACATGTATGAGATTGTCTCCCCTGTTTGGATTTTATGTTAGCATGGCCAAATGCCAGGCCAGTGTAAGACAAAGGCAGGGTTCTGACGTGCGTAGAAGATGCCAGCCACTAAGAAGCTTCTGCAGTAACTGTGCTTCCCACTATAAAAATAGTCTCAGGGTATATTTTAGGTCTTCCCTTCTTATCCAGTGGCCACAGTATACCAAGTGGCAAGACTCTGGGTGTGCATAGGACATGCCCCCGGGTAAGAGTGAAACTGATGGTCGCTGCCCCCGTCACCCATCTCATCCCACAGCACTGCTGTTTTCATTTGTGTCGTGGAAAGTCCTACCCGCGACCCTGACATCGCTGGATACTGGCTCCCTTACCTGGGAGGTGACAGCATCCAGCAATGATTTTCTAATGTGTTTGGGAGCTTGAGCTTCTTGTTTGTGTGCAGCACTTACACTACGGTGGCCAGCCCTTCTAATAGAACACTTCCTGTCAAGAAATTGGGCAGGTTTTAATGAATTTGATGAAGGAACTGTGTTAGTTATCTAACAATTCAGACTTCATTCTGTAGATGTCTCATCAGTTGTTTGGGGTTTGCTTTCTTGTTATGTTTTTTAATCAGTTCTTTCCTTTTTATTTTTAGCATAGTGAGATCATCAGCTTTGCCATCACAGATTTTCCCCAGGCCATTCCTCTCCTAGCAGGCCAGGCACAGGGTAGCCAAGCATGTGCAGGTGCAGTGTGTGCGCCTCAGACCTCTCAGCCGATTTGGACGTTTCATTTTGTGAGAGGGAAAATGTGCAGATTAACCTAACAGGCAAAACCAGCCATGTTCGTGGAAAGCTCGCCTTCTCCATGGGTACATGGGTCCACGTCCTGTCAGATTCCCCAGACACCTGCCACTCCCCTCGTCCCGGGAACCCACGGTCCCAGTGCCTTTGTTGCCTCTGTGACACCTCAGGTTTGTCAGGTGGTTCAGCCGCTGCGGGGCCGCCCTGCTCTCGCACACTGCTCTTCAATGTGTGTGGACCTCGGCTTCCTCACACACGTCGGGGACAATAACTTCTGTGCCCGTGGGCTTCCATGTGCAGCCAGCAGGGGCCAGAGACTGAGGCCTGAGGCCGGCGGGAGATGTGTGTTTTCTCTGTGTCCCTCCCAAGAGCCTTGTGAGGCAGGCTCTGCAAGCATACCCCCCGTGTCGTAGGTGAGACAACTGACACCAGGGATAGCAGCTCAGCTAATTATAGCCTCCCTAATTGGCGTCTGCACCACATTCCGTGTTTTTCTCAGGTAGTGGTGGGAGCGTTCCTGAGCGCCCAGCCTGGATCCCAGCTGTCCTTGTATCTTGGTGCAGGGCTCTCACGGCACAGCTTGTCAGGCACTTCACTCTCCCCAACACAGTGCTCATAGCTGAGGCTCACTGCCTTCAGTGGGTCTCTCGCTCCCTCTCTCCCAGGCCCTGCATTTGTACCTCACAGGGCTGGTGGACAAAGTTTGCAGTTAACGGAAGCAGAGTCATGAAGGATCCCCAGGAGAAGGCCAGTGCCCACCAACGCAACAGGGACAAAGGGCTCCCTCAGACACCATTGGTGGGAATGTAAGTTAGTGCAGCCATTGTGGAAAATAGTACACCGGTTTCTCACGATCTAGAGGAGTCCACATTGTAGTGCAGCAGGGAAAGCCGCCCCCTGCGATGCTGGCATCTGATATGGGCGCCGGTTCGAGACCTGGCTGCTTTGCTTCTGATCCAGCTCCCTGCTAACGTGCCTGGGAAAAGCAGTGGAAAATGGCCGAAGTGCTGGGGTCCTTGCACCCACTTGGGAGAGCCAGAAGAAGCTCTGGGCTCCTGGCATTGGCCTGGCCCAGCCCTGGCCATTATGGCCATCTGGGGAGTGAACCACCTGATGGAAGATTGATCTCTCTCCCTCCCTCCCTCCCTCCCTCCCTCCCTCCCTCCCTCTCTCTCTCCCTCCCTCCCTCCCTCCTCCCCATGTGTGTGTGTGTGACTGTCAAATAAATAAATAAATCTTAAAAAAAAACCCTAGAAATAGAATTTCCATGTGGTACTACTGCTGAGTGACAGGTGTCTGAAGCAGGTGAAACAGCTGCACAGACACCTGCACCCAGGCCTATGGCGTCATTGTTCCTAATAGCCAGGACTCAGAATCCACCTAGGAGTCAATTGACAGATGAATGAAAAAGGAAATGGAATACTATTTAGCCATTGTAAAAGAACAAAATGCTGTCATATGCAGCAACATGGATGAAACTAGAGGACATACATACGTTAAGTGAAATACATCAGGCCCAGAAAGACAAACACCACATGTTCTTACTTGTGGGAGCTAAAGTTGATCTCAAAGAAATAAAAATTAGAATATTGTGGTTCCCAGAGCCTGGGAAGGCTTTGGGGGAGGGAGAGATGGAGAAAGGATGGTTAATGAGTACAGGGGTGCAGATGGATAGAAGGGTAACTCTTAGTGTTTTGTAGCACAGTACGATAACTGTGGTTGAGGACAATTAGTTATTTCAAAATAACTAATAGAGTGCATTTTAAATGTTCCCAACCAAAGAACTGAGACATGTCTGCGGTGGTAGAAATGCCAGTTAGCCTGATCTGATTATCCCACACTGTGCACATGCAGTGAAATGCCACACTGCACCCCGCAAGTATGTACATGTACTCTGTGCCAATTAAAAATAGATATATGTTACAAAATAAATTTTTAATGTAAAAAGAATATTGCAGAATAATGTATAAGTTAAACAAACATAAAAGTGTGGCTTAGAGGCCAGCATTATGGTGTAGCAGATGAAGCTGCCTCCTGGGACACTGGCATCCCATTTGGATACTGGTTTGAGTCCCAGCTGCTACTCCACTTTTGATCCAGCTCCCTACTAATATGCCTGGGAAAGCAGCAGAGGATAACCCAAGTGTTTGGGCCCCTGCACACACAGGAGAAACCCAGAAGAAGCTCTTGGATTGGCGCTGGCCCAGTCCCAGCTGTTGCGGCCATTTGGGAAGTAAAACAGCAGGTGCAAGATCTCTCCCTCTCTTCCTGTCTCTCTGTTGGGTTCTGTCTTGGATTCAATTGGCTAGAATTTTGTTGAGGATTTATGCATCTGTGTTCATCAGGGAAGCTGGTCTGCAGTTCTCTTTCTTTGTTGTATTTTTTTAAGGTTTAAAAATTAAGGTGATGCTGGCTTCATACAAAGAGTTTGAGAGGATTCCCTTCCTTTCAATTGTTTTGAATAGCTTGAAAAAAAATTGGGATTAAATCTTTAAATGTCTGGTAGAATTCAGCAATGACGTTATCCAGTCCTGGGCTTTTCTTTGCTGGGAGGATGTTTATTACTGATGCAACTTCCATCTTGGTTATTGGTCTGTTTAGGTTTTCTGTGTCTTCATGATTCAACTTAGGTAGGTTATATGTGTCCAGGAATCTATCCATTTCTTCTAGGTTTCCCAATTTGTTGGCTACATCTCTTTGAGGTAATGTCTGATGATTCTTTTTATTTTTCTTTCTGTGATGTTGTTACATTTCGTTTTTCATCTCTAGCTTTATTGACTTGAGTCTTCTTCCTCTTTTTTTTTTGTTAGTTGGGCCAATGGTGTGTCAATTTTGTTTATTTTTTCAAAAAAAAAAAACCAGTTCTTCATTTTGCTGATCTTTTGTGTTTTTTTTTGTTTCTATTTTGTTTATTCTCTAATTTTAATTATTTCTTCTACCAATTTGAGGTTTGGTTTGCTAGTTTTTCTAGGTCCTTAGATGCATTGATAGCTCATTTATTTGGTGGCTTTCTAATTTCTTTATGTAGGCACCAATTGCTATAAACTTTCCTCTTAACACTGCTTTTGCTGTATCCCATAAGTTTCGATATGTTGTGTTGTTGTCTTTATTTGTTTCCAGAAATTTTTTTATTTCTCTTGATTTCTTCAGTGACCACTGTTCATTCAGGAGCATGTTGTTCAGTCTCCTTGTCTTGACATATGTTTGAGAGATTCCTGAGTTGTTGATTTCCAGCTTCATTCCATTGTGGTCGGAGAAGATGCATGGTATGGTAGAGAAAGTTCCACGCCCTGCTGAGAAGAGTGTGTATTCTGCATCTGTAGGATGAAAAGTTCTGTAGGTTTCCGTTAGGTTCATTTGGTCTGTAGTGTCAGTTAACTCTGTTGTTTCCTTGCTGATTTTCTGTCTGGTTGATTTGTCCATTGCTGAAAGTGAAGTATTGAAGTCCTCCATTACTATTGTATAGGAGTGTATGTATCCCTTTATATTCATTAACATTTCTTTTAAATAGCCTGGTGACCTATAATTAGGTACATATATATTTACAATAGTCAACATCTTCCTATTTAATTGAACCCTTAATCATTACATAGTGCCCTTCTTTGTCTCTTTTAACAGTTTTTGTGTTTAAAAAAGATGGCTACATCTTTTCTTTTTTTTTTTTTTGTTTCTGTTAGTATGGAATATCTTTTTCCATCCTTTCACTTTTAGTCTGCATATATCTTTGCTTATGAAATGTGTTTCTTGTAGGCCACAAATAGATTTTTTTTTATTTGACAGGTAGAGTTATAGACAGTGAGAGAGAGAGACAGAGAGAAAGGTCTGCCTTCTGTTGGTTCACTCCCCAAATGTTTGCTACGGCTGGAACTATACTGATCCAAAACCAGGAGCCAGGTGCTTCTTCCTGGTCTCCCACCAGGGTGCAGGCACCCAAGCACTTGGGCCATCCTTCACTGCCTTCCCAGGCCACAGCAGAGAGCTGGACTGGAAGAGGAGCAGCCGGGACTGGACCCCGGCACCCATCTGGGATGCCGGCGCCACAGGCAGAGGATTAACCAAATGACCCATGGTGCCAGCCCCAATGGGTTTTGTTTTTTAATCCATTCAGCCAGTCTGTGTCTTTTAACTGGAGAATTGAGGCCATTTATATTCAACATTACTAGTGATAAATAACAGCTTTGCTCAGCCATTTTTCCATAAATATTCCTATTTTTTTACTTTGGATTTCCTTTGTATTTTTACTGGGAGATTTTATCTCTTCACCTTTTTTCATAGCGATGACCATGTGTCTGTGTTTTTGTGTGTAGCACATCCTTAAGCATCTTTTGTAAGGCTGGAAGAGTGGTGACAAATTTTTCTGTTTGTTATGGAAGATCTTATTTCACCTTCATTCATAAATGAGAGCTTTGCAGGGTACAGTATTCTGAGTTGACAGTTTTTTCTTCTTAAGACGTGGAATATATCTCACTATTCTTTCCTAGCCTGAAGGGTTTCTGATGAGAAGTCCACTATGAGTCTAACTGGAGATCCTCTGAAAGTAACCTGGCATTTATGTCTTGCACATTTTAGAATCTTTTCTTTATGTTTTACTGTGGAGAGTTTGACTACAGTGTGTCATGGTGAAGATCTTTTCTGGTCATGTCTATTAGGAGGTCTGTGTGATTTCTGTACTTGGACATCCCTTTCTTTTTTCAAATTGGGGAAATTTTCTGAAATTATTTCATTAAAAAGGCCTTCTAATCCATTCTTTCTTTCTACACCTTGAGGAACTCCTAAGATGCATGTGTGGGGTCATTTGCTAGTATCCCATAAATCTCCAACACTGGTTTCAGTTTTCTGATTTCTTCTTTTTTTTTTTTTTTTCTTTTTGGTCTGACTGTAAAATTCCCAGAGATTTGTCTTCTTACTCAGATATTCTTTCTTCTGCCCCACCAAGTCTGTTCTTAAGGCTTTCTACCATATTTCTTATTTGTTCTACTGAATTCTTCATTTCCAATATTTCATTTTGATTTTTCTTTAAAATCTCCATTTTGTGAGAAAAATTTACATTCATATCATGTATGGATTTCTTTAGTTCATGAACTTGCTCTGATTACTTCTAAGTAATCTGATCAATTTTTTAAATTCTGTTTCTGGTGTTTTCATCGATCTCTTTTTCTTCATGTTCTAGTATTGAAGTGCTGTGTTCTTTTGGGGGCATCATGTTGTCTTCTGTATTCTTGTTTGTGGAATTGTTGCATTTATTATTAGGCGTTTGTGGAGATATTTGCTGATTTTTTCCTCCTCCCCTGTCCCCATGATGGCTTTTATCTTTGGACTTGCTTCTGTGGCTTAGTGGAGTCTGTTTTCTTCTTCTTCTTCTTCTTCTTTTTTTTTTTTTTTTTAACCTAATTGCTCTGACCTACAGAGAGTTTCAAGGCACTGGGAAATGAGGGATGTTGTGGGGTCAGGTTTGGGAGCAAACTAAGTTGTGGGTGGGATGTCTGCAAAGGGCAGGAGGTGTGGTTGGCTCTGAGCCCTGAGCCAGAATTTCATTTGGGGCAAAGGCTTGAATATTAAGTCCCTCTGGGCTGAAACAGCTTGAGCAGTAGCAGAAGTCTGGCTGAGGCCTGTAGCAGATACAGAGAAAGATGTGAAACACAACCAGGCTGGTGTTGTGGCGTAGCAGGGTCAGCCACCACTTGCTACTGACACTGGCATTCCATATGGGTGCCAGTTCAAGTGCTGGCTGCTCTGCTTCCAATCCAGCTGCCTGCAAATGCATCTGGGAAGGCACTGAAGGTGGCCCGAGTGCTTGGGCCCCTGCCACTCACATGGGAGACCTGGATGGAGTTGCAACGTCCTGGCTTCAGCCTGGCAGAGCCTCCGCCATTGTGGCCATTTGGGGAGTGCATTAGTGAATAGAAGATTCTCTCTCTTTTCTCATTCTGTAACTCTGCCTTTCAAATAAAAATAAATAAATTTCTCCTCCCTCAAAAAAAGAAAAGAAAGTGAGGCCAAGGGAAGAGCAGCAAACGAGCACAGTAGGAAGATGGTCCTCATTCCAATCCTGCTCCCTTCGCCATCAGCACATCACAGAAGTGCCCATAGA